AAACCAGGGGCGAAACTAGATGCGTTTAATTAGGGGGGGGGGGGGTCTCCTGGAATTTCCCTGCCAAAGCCGATGATGCCCTGCAGCAAATTATTTTTTTGGCAACTATTTTTCCCAAAAATCTTGGCGAGGGGGGGGGGGGCTGTGGTTGAAAAGTTTTTTCCTGACATTCCAAAAAAGGTTCGAAAACATTTTTCCGGACATAAACCAGTTAAATTAAGGGACAAAAAATGTTTTCCGTACAAATTCCTGTTAAAACATGGGCGAACCCTTGTAAGTTACTTAATAACTCCTAGAGATAGAGACTATAATGCAGATACACGGAAAAACGGAGGAATTGCAGTATATCTTCGACAGAACTTGGAAGTAATTCGTGTCTGTCGGGAAACAGTATTTGAAATGATTAGGATTATACTTATTCTCCCAACGGGACATAAAATGTTAGTTATTGGAGCCTATCACCCTTCAAGATTTAGTTATGATGAAACAGATATTTTGAATCGAATTGTGGAAGTCGTTGACAATTTTTTAGGTGTTAACCCAAATGGCCTAGTTCTCTTTGATGGAGACATTAATCATCTAAACGTTAGTCAAATTTCCACAATGTCTGACATGTTGCCTTTGGTAGACTTTCTCCGCTACAGGGCAAGTAATTCTTGATAACTGCTTTACAAATAGACAGGAATTTTTCAATAAAGCATACCCATTGCAGATACAAATGAAAGCAGACCACTTGGGACTCATTATCCCGGCAGGAATAAATTGAAGCCCCTCCGCACTAAAATCAGCTTTAGGGACTACAGAGCACAGAATAAAGTCAAATTTCAAAAGAAGCTTTCCGAGAAAAGTTGGTCTGAAGTTACGTCATTGGCAACAGTTGAAGAAGCAACTAAAGTATTAGAGAACACTATCCACAATATGATAGATCAATGTTTTCCAAAGAAAACCGTTACTCTTTCCACTCGTGACCCTCTATGGATGTCTCCACTCTTAAAGTACTTAATAAGAAAAAGATCAAAGGCTAAGACAAGGAGAAAGCTATCTATTGCGGGAGAATTAACAGAACGAATATCTGGAATAATTTCACATAATTGAACAAAAATATGGCAAAGTCCGAGTGTACTGGTACAAGCCAATGGTGGAAAAACGTCACATAGAAGAAATCGAGATCATATCAGTTATACTTGACAACGAGTTCAAAGACGAAACTTGAACGATTACTTTGGAGAGTAATGTTGGAATAGATTCAATCACAATAAAAGCTAGCTCCTCAGTTTAGCATAACCCAGGTCAAGAACGCTTTGTTAGAAATAAGGAAAACTGCAACAGGCCCTGATGGAATCCCATTTTGGGTATGGAAAGAAAACGCTGATATATTTGCACCTGTTATGACCAAGATTTGGAATGAATCTCTCTCTACATCCACATGGCCTACCTCTTGGTAAATTGCTCATGCATATAGATCCTTTAACAAAAGTCAAGAATCCAAAGGAATATTGTGAATTTAGAGGTATAAACGTCACACCTGTGATTGGACGATGCTTCGAAAGAACGGTTTACATTATCATTATCATAGCAAAAGATCTTTCGAGGCTGAGTTATCATCTTCCCAGTTTGCTTATCGAATCGGTGGGTGTAGCACAGATGCCTTAATTAAATTACAGTATATGTACCTGAAAGCACTAGAAGAACCAAATTGTGAAGCAGTGAGATTACTTGCAATGGACTTTTCCAAAGCATTTGGCAATGTATGCCACGTAAAACTGAGTGAAAATTTGAAATCGATTTCTATGAATCCTTATTTAGTAAATTGGTACTTAAATTTCTTAAAAGATCGAAGACAGCGGAATAGTTTTCCAAGGAACGACATGCAATTAAGTGGAAAGATATTAACAAGGGAGTTATGCAAGGAACTGTAACCGGACCACATTTCTTTAATTTATTTATTAATGACTTAGAGATTAAAAACTGTTCCAACACCCCCCTTGTTAAATTCGCGGATGATTCCTCACTTTTGGTGCCGATTTTGAAGAATACCTAAGATTGTAGTTCTAAAGCTATAGATGAATTTAAGGACTGGTGCAAATCAAACTCTTTACCTTTAAATGAGGGTAAATGTAAAGAAATGATTATATTAAAGAAAGGACGATCAGAGGATTGTGTAACACCAATTTATGGTTTTGAACGGCACTCTAGTCTTGAAATACTGGGGCTAACCTTTAAAATGACAAGCAGATTTGAGAAATGTGTTAAGAAAAAGTTGATGAAAGTAAATAAATGCTTGTAATTGTTTGTAATTCGAAAGCGGAGGAATAATCACGTGAAAAATCAGTCGCGCGGGCACGCCAAGAAAGTTGAATGCAGTTCTACTTTCATGGCGTGTCCGCGAGCAGTCAGGCGGACAAAAAATGCACAGGATAGATAACTACAGAAAAAGTTGAGTAATATTCGCTCCGCCCGCACGAGCAAAGCGACTGCAATGGAAAGTGGCCTTAAAGGTAAAAAGGTGAGAGCTAGAGGCGTAGAGTTGGGCAAAAGACAAATCTTATATTCAGATGGGGAAACGCTGAAGAACAAAGTCGAGAAATTTGAGTACGAATTTGCAGAGAATGTGAACCAGTGAATGGGAGACAGAAGTACATAACTTTCTTGGCCACCGAATGACTGCAGCTTTGGGTTGAAAAACTTTGTCCATGCCGATCTCGTTCCCAGAGTATGCCTGTTCGCGGGTTAGGTTGTGGCATGACTCTGGGGAAATCGAATCGAAATTGTTATTTGATTGGCTGCCGTGATCATCAATGCTGCCGACATATTAATGCGTGTTTTTTTGCGAGAATTACGCGTGGACATACGCGAAGAGCGAATTATCAATGTTTATCATATTTGGAATGCGAAATCAAACAATATAAATCGAACGATATAATATTAATCGTATGAAAAAGTATTGGGACATTGGGTATATACTTACAAAATGGTATAGTATTTATGAATGACTTTTTATCGATCTACAGTATGAGTATATTGACATATATGTATGTGGAAACGACGGCGTACAAGTTTCGTATTTATTCCATTAATCCATGATATAAAACCGTAAAAGAATTGGCTAAATGAAATCATCGCACACGTTGTCGTTGTTTTGTTAAATTGATATATTGTTGCCATGACTTTGGAGTGACAGCTTTTGCTTGTGTTAAAGCTTTAAACAATACAGAACATTAGATCTTCCGTTTCATGTTCACTTGACATATATGTGCTGAGAGGTCACTTAACTACACATCAATTATGGTCAACATGTTGTAGCCTGTGGTCTTTGTGCCTTAGTGAAAGGAGTTATCTATAAATTTAAGATGCCATGTGATTTTAGCATCATCTGTATAAATAATAGAATAATTAATTTAAGAAGTTCATCAGGTTGTAAAACATTTGGTTATATACCTGCTTTGTAAATGGCCAGCATGATGTAAGGCTGTAATGCACCTATCAATGTTAACCCCCAAAGGGGGGTAGGGGGGGTCGGGCATATGTGGGGTATTTGATCATCAATTGCATCCCCACCCTGGGGATTTTGATTAGCATTTTGGCCCTGAGTTGGGGCAATTTGAACCAAATGACTTTTAAAATTAACATAGTATTTATTATTGTAAAATGGTGGGTCATTTGACCAATATTTATTGCCCGACGGTGGGGCATTTGATTGAAAATTTGCTCAAAAAATCAATTGCCCCACCTATGCCCAACCCCCCCCCCCCATCTGAGGCTTAACATTGATAAGTGTAATAACTATTAAGCCAAACCCTGGCCAAACCTGAAATATTTTTTGCATCAAGCTAGCAGTTAATGAAACATTTTTGTCTGGATAAAAAAGGAGTGGTGAATCCAAACACAGATGTTTGCTTGTCTGTTCCTATGTGAACCAATGTTGTTTTATAGCAATATAAGTCACTGTGGATTGATATATGTCGGGCTTATTTGCTAAAAATATACAAGCATTGATTCCATTTCCAAACTATTATTCTATGTGAATATATAATTTGGTAATTATATGTAAAAAGGAGATGCAGTAGGATTGAAATAGCTACAGTCATATAACTATACTTTAATTTCTGTATCAATCTTCCTGGGAGTTATTTATTCCCAAGCATCATTAAGGGGGGTTTAATATATAGAGAGGGGGCTTAATATATAGAGAGGGGGCTTTATAGAAGGGGCACATGTTCTAAATATATACAATAAGTCTGGTTACCATAAAAAATGTACATATTCAGAGTTACTGTTGTACTATATTTTATTAAAACACTGCAGAAATGCATTATAATTCATGATTTTAACAATTAATTGAATGTGGGATGCATGGTTAAAAGAGGGGGGGGGGGGGCATTTTAAGGTGCATGCAAAATGGCGGTGTCTGAGAAATGAGCTGGAATATTGTCAATATTTAATAAGAAGATAATGTTGAGCAGTAAATATAGCTAGCTGTAATTTGCTGTGAATAAATATAGCCTTCAGCGTGAACACCTTGCCAGGCATCATATTTTTAGTACAGCATGAAGCCCGAGACTCATTTGTTAATGTCATAAGATATAAAAGTAATCTGGTTTAATTGTTAAAATATGTGATATATACTATACAATGGCCTGTGTGCCGTCTCATATCCGATTAACAAATTTGAAAACCTTTCAATTTAGAATTTGATTGCACAAATCGTAATTTCTGTATTTAGCCCTTTCTCTTATTTAAGTTGCCCCCTCTCTAATAAGCCCCTCCCTTTTGGAAAGCAGAAAAGAAATAAGCCTCCCTTCTCTTGAAGTATATCATATTTCTGCAATATCTGAATAGAATAAATATTATACAAACTTGGATCTGAATATGGAAATTTCGAATGGGTAAACCGGACTTGTTGTATAGATTTAGCCCCCCTCTTTTAAGACCCCTTCTCTGTTAAGCCCCCCCCCCCAAAAAAAAAAAATAATGCTTTGATTGAAAATATTGGTTCTGTATCATCAAATTTTTGCTGTAATATAATATAAAAAGTAATATGGTTCAAATTGTTAAGATATAATGTGATATATAATATACACTGGCCTGCTCATAGCCGATTAACGAATTTGAAAACCTTAGAATAGACTGGCTATGCAGACATATATTTTTTACAACTTTTTATTTTGTTCAGTTCCTATTAAATGATTTTTTAAACAAATTTGTGTGTGTCAATATAGTTGCCTGAAAACACAATTTCACCAGTGTTCTAACCATTATTATTAAACGTCATGTACCGATACGTGTGGGAAATCTGCTTGTTTGTGTCTCATGCCAAGTGACAAACCATTTAGTTGGACACTGAGCACAATGAGCAAAACAAATAACTGGAAACTCCATCTGTAGTCTGCATGAAAGGCAAAGCCGATCGTGTTAAAGCTCTGTTTTTCTTATTTCACTCCCGGCCGCTTTGATCAGTATCGTACAGGTTGCGCACGCGAGAGGTTACTGATCAAAATGCGTTGTGTATGTTGCGGAAAATTTTCTGCGCACAATTATGTAAGATTATTTGGCGAAACTGCAATAAAGGAAAACATTAAGGAGGCGATAGAAAAATACGGTGGAATCACAGTTAGTCAGGACGTTGTTGCTAAATCCTCTGCTTGTGTGTGCAAGTCATGCTTTATTCTTGCGAAGGGAATAAATGACAGAGTCAAAAAACTGTCGCTATTATGCCGGGCTGCCGGAAAATCCTCTAATCAAATCACTGATGCAACTGCTGGTAAACGTACGTATCAGCAACAAAAAAGCCCATCAGATAAAACATTTTCACCATCTGTGTTCCTCAATAGACCAAAACGTATAGCTATTAGACCGTCAATTTCAGCTGCACGCAATCCTGTCGATGCAGAAACATCAGAATGTCGCGGATCCTTGTTGGATAGATTCACAGCTACTGCCGCCACAGATACATCGGCATCTGCATCAGCACGTAAAAAAGAAACTCGAAGCCATGAAATCCTTCGAAACGCAGGATTACGTAGCGCCAAGCCCAAGGTAAAATAAAATAACGTGCATTTCGAGGTGCATTATTTTACTATTAAAATCTTTATACATAACAAGATAACTAGCTTTAATTACAAACATGCATCGTATATACGGATTTATTCAGTGAAACTCTATTAATATAGCTTATTCCACGAGCGAATTCCATAATGCGAGAGAATTCGCGCGAATTGAATTAACGCGCGCATGCACAATAAAGACAAGTCTGCCTGAAAGTGCATGCATGCAGCACAAATCTTTTGTCTTGTGGTAATTACTCATGAATATTAAATCTTGTGGTTGAGAGATTAAACCCCAAGGTTTTTATTGGTTAATTGCCTCACACAGAAAAACAAGTTTTTACTCACTGTAGAAGTGCACAAAATTTCATAAACTCAGTAAAAACCTCTTCTAGTGACCATACATAATTAACTTTGAAACGGGCACAAACTAAGCCTATATGTCCTATATTTACACAAATGTTCTTATCAAATATATATATATATATATATATATATATATATATATATATATATATATATATATATATATATATATATATATCTAAAGAAGCTAAAGACCTCTTTCTATCATTGGAAACGCGTATTCCTGCTGAATTATGTCGTGTCATTTTTTCACAACCCATTTTAAGAGATTCGGTTAAATATGCTATGATGAAAGAAATCGATGAACAATGTAGCAAGTTATGTATACGAAAACGCCGCGACCAAGGACAAGAGCTTTCTGTGTTACATGTCAAAAGAAAAGACACAAAACAGAAACTGGAGGAGCTTACTTGGGAACAAATTTTGGAAGAAATGAAGGAAAGAGCACCAGATGTTCTTGACTTTCTTTGTTCGATCAGTGTTCCAGTACTAAAAGATACTGACAAGTAGGTCGCACCGCTTTGTGTGGCGTATGGTATTTTGCTAAACAACAGATGGAGAGAACTCAATCTAATCCAGAAAGTTGTGACAACCGTATTTGGAGTAGGACATTGTACAGCGAAGGTAAATTAACCCTAATCCCGAGTCTTTCCATGTGAAAATTAATGAATTTTCGATAAATTAATGTTACTCAAACTGATACTCTCAGTTCATCTACGCCCACTCAATGTGGCGAATACACTGAATCAGGCTGGTCACGTTGCACCTAGATTTTTTAAAGTTCAAATGTAAAACTAAGGATAACTAACTAAATACATATATGATGTGAAAGAATATATTTTGGGCCCAAGTACCTGTACATTTATTTCCACGTCGCACCAAAAATCTAGGTGTCACGTGAGCAGCCTAAGTGGGTGGGCGTAGATGAAGAGCCTGCGCATCAGGTTGGAATTTTAGTATACTTTCTTTAAAAGCACTTATAATATTACATTAACCAAAACAGGCAGACTTGACTAATTAGGAGTCTTTTTGGCGCGTGAACCAAATAAAAACTATATTCAGATTTATGCACTGCCACTAGATAATTTTATAATCATATGAATCGAAATGGTTTCAGCATATCATTGTCTTTCATAAAGACGTTTGAAAGATGCAGCGCCCTTGGTATCTGTCAGACACGGCCATCGTACAGAAACCTGCTAGACGACCTACAGGATGGTGTTTCTGATTATCTCAGACAACAGATACAAAAGGGGAAGGAAATTCGAATGACATTTGACAACTTTGACTTTAGGATTTTAACCAACATCATAATCAGTGGCTACAAAAATTCTGATATGCATTTCTGATAGGCGCGAAGAAAACCAGGGCGGGGTGTGATTACTCTAGCGACAGATTTGAACATCTCATCGAACTTCCAGCTGTTTGGCATGCAAAACAGTTTATTTTAACCGTAAGTTTGTAATATGATTTCTACCTGACGATTTTATAAATGGCCTCGTTTTCATGTGGCTTTTCCTTATATTTCATACACAATATGTTCAAGGATAGACTTCAGATTGGGATAAATATCATACAAAAGCGTATTAGTGCTGCGGTTTTGTGCGCTTGTCATGCTTAATAACATGGAAACGGGGCCATTTGGAACAAATTTCAATGAACGGCAAAGACCATTGATAAATCGTTACATATCATTTTCACCACGCAAAGCATGCGATTCAAACGAAAAGCTCAATTGTTACACAATCGGACGGTTTACTGTATAATATAGAACGACAGAAAGTTTTGTAAGAATACGTCTACATGTAGAATCAATTAAAATCATATTGAGTATTGTATAATTATTTTCGATGATGCGTTTAGAACTTTGTTCCAAATTGTTTTAAACATTCTCCTGAAAAATCGGTAAAGTTTCTTAACTCAAAATTATCTTTGAGCCACTCTTAATTGTTTCAACTAAATTGAAAACATTTACATAAGAATTGAAAGTAGTTTTATATTGAACACAATTTCTTTGTTTTACATGCAGACAATTTGGAAACAGTTGTATAATTCAAAGAGTGCGAGAGATGTTGGTACCATGTACCATATCCGCCAAAAGTTTGGCAAGAAGAATGTTTATGCAGATGCAAAAAAGAATTTCAAGGCGTCTGCCGAGCTGTTGCAAGAGGTAACGAAGTCATATGTGTGCGAAGCATTTATGGAATGGGCTGGTATGGATGACATGGATGAAGAACCACTGAACATAGAGATTCCACATGCCAACACCAACCATCTGGTTAAAAAAAGGTTCATGGAATCAGTTATTGGAAACTTTGTGGACAAATTCATTCTACCTGATCTAAACGCTGAAAAAGCCCTGAAGTTGAAAAAAGGTCCACCCAAGGCTCCAGTTGATAATTAAATAGACATTTCTTAGACTTGGTTTACTAGTGACTGTTACGCAGTTTCACAGTGATACGACTATGTTAAATAAATAATTTGAATATGTGCATGAATATGCTAAACTGTAACCGATTATATATTTTACTTTCATAGATCGACCGTCTCCACAGCAGTCCTCAATCACTACACCTGACGCAGAAAACACATCAAGTACGAAGTTTGTTATTAAAATTGACACAAAGAAAATCTACACACAAGGTTTGTCTGCATGCACTGTAATAATAACGATAACATGATATTATTCTGCCATATATGCATAAACTGCTATTAGAACATATCGTAAGTACAAAGATGCAAAAGTAAAGTTTATTATCGAAAAGAATGCAGGTATACTTAAGTCATTCATGGAACACATATGATATGCCAATCTCTTCCCTGGTGTATTGTATCTACTTTCAGAATAACTTTCACCTGAGTACACTGCACCAACACAGAAAAAATCATGAATACTAGATTACATCGATATCGAAGGAGAGGTGTGCATCGGATCGGACGTTTATAATCCAACAATTGCCTAATGTTTTAAATCCGATCCGATATTGTCTAATCCGAATCCGAGTTTTGAAAAAGAATTCCAATCCGATTCGAAGAATTCTTTAATAAAATGAATTGAGAAATGTTTAACTAAATAAATATAAAAGCAAGAAATACATGTCAAGAAGCTGACAAAGTGACGTCCAATTGAAGTATGCAACGAATAATACAGCGACAACCGCGATGATACTTTGATAAATGCATGGATAATTAATTCTTGCGATAATGCGTGGATAATTAATTCATTTTATTTCGGATATCGAAGTCAGATCCGACAACGAAACAACTTTATCAATCCGATATGAATATTTTGGTTCCGAAATCCGAACGAATCGGATCGGTTTCGGATCGGATTTGCACACCTCTACTATACCGCGTGCTCAGCTGCAGAGCATGGGGCTAGTATTCCAAAGGTCGCAGGTTCGATTCCCACCGTGGCAAGGCATATTTTTCAAGCTTGCCCGGTGCGGATATACAGTATACACCGAGTAACATCACAAGCATCATATTCACCTGAGAACATTACACCAACACAGAAAAAAACCACTTTCTTCTTTCTTAAAATTTTAGATGAAACAGTGGTTCTACTAAAAAAGAATCTTAAAGAACTTGTGGGTATAGGCAAAGTACAAACTGTAACCGATCAGCAACCAACTTACGTAAGCCCAGACAAATGTCAAATAAAGATCACCGCCATATTTAATGCAGGATTAGTGGACGTACAGGACCTGGTTAAAGATCAAGATTTTCAACAGGGACAAAGCGTTTATTGGCCCAAAAAATATATTGGAAAAACAGTTCAGGTGATAGCAGCAAGTCAACCAAGCACAAACAACGCTAATCATGAGCCAGTCCAAGATTTAGTGCAAGATCCCCTATTGCAAGATCCCCTACTGCAAGATCCCCAAGCTGAAGATCACGTGTTCAACTACGGTCTGCAGATCATGCAAATGGGTTTGTTCTTCATGCAACTGGATGACACAGAACACGAAGGTGACGGAGAACGGATGATGAGAAATTGGAAGTTGCTGATGTTGTACGGAAGATCGACGGGGAGGTCTAAGAAATATGCTTACGAAGCAATGCGACTGCTGACATATTGTAAAGCATTATTTACTGAGAAATTAGCACACAAAGCTATTCATGGGCAGTTTGTGAATCCTTCTGGTGGAAAGGGAAACAATTATGCAAATGATCTTAAGCAAGAACATTTAGTCAAATGCAACAAGGTGATCTTACGAGGACTATGTGGCAACAAAACTTTGAAAGCTGTCACTAGGGCCACAAAAAGTTCGTATAACGTGAAGAAAATAACAGACAATTTCGGCAAGCAATCAAATATAACACCACAATCCAAATCACACACCTACGGAGACCCACACAACGATGTAAAACAAATGGTGAAAGTTCTCAGGAAGTTAAGACCATTCCACTATTCTGAAGGACGAAAACACGCAGCATTTCCCACCATTTCGAACAGTATACTTAACAACATTGACACTACTTCTCTTGACGCGTGGTTAACATCCAGGAAAAATGCCATTGCCAAAAATCCATTCTTGGGGTACGAGCCAGAAGATGGAGAAGAAAGCGAGGAAGAAGACGAAAACGCTGAAGATGTAAATGATGAAGTCGAAGGTTTGACAGAAGATGAAGATATGTAAGTTAATTTCAATTAATGTTCGCGATTGTGCCTTGTACCACATACACACATGTACAACAAATTAAAAATTCCATCATACTGTAACAGAAGTACGTTTTCAACACAACTATATTTTAAATATGCCAACAGAAATTATTGGTAGTTGATTTATTCTTTTTTTAAAGACCTTGTAAAGTCCGTTCTGTGCAGGCTTACATTCCATTGGTCGGGACCCGACCGTTGGAATGTTATTAATATTTCGTATATTTTGAACATTCTTGAATTGAATCTCTAGTCTGTATTCATTTACAAGCATAGCGAACCAGAAAGTGTTAAAAATTCAGTATAATATATATCTAATCATATTTTGTAACTGTAGCACAGAGTTTAAAATGTAAACAAAGCGTTTGTTTACATTACGGATTTTACATGGTCTTTAAAATTTAAAAGATTGTCATGGATACACTGAAACCAATCAAATACGTGTACACCACTCTTTAATCATGTCCAGTCAAAAAATATTTACAAAAGTTAAGGAGTAACCTTTTGAAAAACAGCAGTCAGTGGTATGTGACAATGACTGTATAGAGCGGAAATGCGCAATAATACGCACTATTTGTTTTTCCGTTAATTACACTGACATTGTGCATTCTTAATTTATAATGTGAACCGTCTTTAAGGGCCTATTTTATCGGAAATTAAGGGAATATTTGTATGGAGGCGAGTTACCCGGCTGACCGGTTTGAATTTTGTCACAAAATTCTTTCCTGGACCGCAAAATGAGATTTCAATCATCTTTAATTAAGATGTCTTTTATACATATATTAAACAAAATCAATTGTTCATTGCAAATTCATTTTATGTGACTTTTAAAGAAACAATAGGATTATAAACAAACGAATCAACCCGGTTAGCCTGGTAACTTGCCTCCATATAAATAGGCCCTAAGACTGTACATAATATAATTTATCATTTAACATATTAATTAAATTTACAAACATTCATTTCAACATTCAAAGTTTGATTTCAAAAACCAGAATTTTTAATTTCTGGTTCTATAAAATTATACATGCATCTGCATCTCTTTTGTTTATTATATTTTGACAATACCAATATTTGTTGCAATACACCCCTTCGATAATTACGTCACAACTACACTATTTTCAACTTAGGCCACCTTAAATGGAAAGGATTTCAAGTTGTTTTTTCTCATGGGCTATGCATAAGTATAGGTAATCATTTGATGGCAAGTACAATTGGACATTTTGCCAAAATTGGACAAGCCGCCTGGGTGAGTACTATTAATCCCTAATTATACGAGCAACATCGGATGATTACTTGTTTATTAGCATGAAAAAATTGGATACTTCTCAATGTCAACATCATATTCTCTCGCCAAAACCCAGTCCTGCAAGACTTTCAACCAAAATTTGGTGCTCATATTTTCATTTAGTTCTTTTGTTAAAGCAAAATTTGGTGCCTCTGTTCGTATTTTCACGTAGTTCCTCTAGGGCAATTTCATTTCACATTTGTGTTTAAAATACCTTTTCACCATTTTGTTTGTTTTGGGAAAATCATTAATTGTACTGCAGTACAATTAATGAAATAATTTACTCTTCTCAACCAATCAGCATCCAGTAATTTTGTAATGCTAATAATAAATATGGAAATAAGCATTAACACGAAAACGAGGCTCCAGGTCATGACCTGGAGCCTTGTTTTCATGTTAAAGCTTATTTCCACATTTATTGGTCAAAATAAATAATTCTTTTTCATGCATGTGTTGAAGAAGGATGTTCTGCTTCTCTGTGCATAGCCCACGAGAAAAAAAGTAGAAATCCTTTCCATTTAAAGTGGTCCTACTCCTAAGTTGAAAACAGTGTAGTTGTGACGTAATTATCGAAATGGTGTATTTATGCAGTCATAAAGAACTAAACTTGTTAGAAGTGGGTGGTTCATAATTAGGTTTTCAGATATTAAATTTTTATCAAGTCTGGATGACTGAGTGAAACCCAACTATTCATAGACTTGAAATAAATACATACAGTAACTTTCAAGTTTCAAGACTGAGATCAATAGAACCTTTTCGTAAATGGTTACCAGCACGGCCAGGGTCAAAATATGTAATATAAGTTAGAGAAACTTTTATATCAATAAATGCAACTGGGCAAAAAATTATTGTTGAAATAGTAATTGTTATGTTCAAATTCAATTGTTTTATCAGTGTCAGACAGACATGTAAAATAAACTTTTAATATGACAATAGTACTAAAGGTTACAACAGAAATTAGTCTTATATGCTTATAGTAGCATATATAAGCCTTATTTCTTCAATGACAGACAAGGAGATGTCTGCATTTGGATACACATACTAGTTTCTGTTTCCAAACATAAATTCTCAATCGCCATCCCCTGCCCCAAGTAATGCAAAAGTTTTTTGTTTTGCTAGCATTTAGTTACGAAAAAGGTCCACCCTGTATATAGTACATTAAACATATACACAACAGCGTACAAAAGTAGTAATTAATTACTTACAATTAGTACAATGTAGAATTGGTACTCATGAAGAAAATCTTGTAACAATATCGTAGATGACTTTTGCATTTTCATTGCAAAACACAGGTAGGAGATTTTCCACAGCCTCAACAGATGTCAAATGCTCCGAGTTCTCAATGGTCTTATCAATTAAATCAGTTGTAAAGCCAGTTGCCAAAGATACACCACCAACACATGATGGACCAAAGTATAACGTTTCCATATGCTTCCTGAGAGCTTCGCGTATCTTGTTTTTCTGAAAAACTGTAATGGACAAGTCGAGATTTTCCGAAGAGTCATCGGAGGTAATATTGTCTTCAACAGTTGCATCTTGCATCTCCAATGCAAGGGATCTGCTAAGACAGTCATCACATTCACATTTGGCAGCATCATTGTCACAGCATGTATGGATCGTCGTAGTGTTTGCACGAATTAGTTCATGGCCAAAATAACTTAAAATTAACTTTCTTTTGCACCCATCGCCAGAGGCAAGTTCCTTCATAACAGGATCAACAGAACTCTTGCCTGATTTTAAATCGTAACAATTGTAATATATTGTCGCAACAGCAGGTAAACCATCCCGACCAGCACGACCAATTTCCTGGAAGTATTCCTCCATTGTCCGTGGCACCCCGATATGAATGACTTGCCTTATGCAAGGTAAGTCAACACCAATACCAAATGCAACAGTGACAAAAAGAACTCTAGCTTTGCAAATATTGTTGATAGGGTCATTTGTCAATGTATCCTTCTCATGTTGTGGGTATTGGGCATGATATTGACTAAAAAGTCTGTTTCTGCTTATTTGAGCTGCTCCCTTTGGAAAGTATTGTTTATTCCCAAGCATTTTACTGAAGTACATAAAACCTTCTGCACAAACATCAAGAGTTCCATATACTAAAGTAAGTGGCATGTCAACTCTCTTATCAATCAATTCTCTACATAATGGCTCTAAAATTGGGTGCAATTTATCTTCACCAGTTGCTGGCCTTTGCTTCGATTCCAAAAAAATATTACCTCGATCGGGGTTAACAGAGATAATAACTGGATCTTATAATTGCAGTTGATGACATATTGCTTTTTGTGATTTTAATGCGGCGGTAGCTGTTGTTGCAATGTGAGGTATCTCTTGAAATATGCTCACAAGAACATCAAGCTCTCCATATGCTGGTCTGAAGGAATCCCTAAGAATGAACATTGAAAAATGCTATTATCAGATTTCAAAATATGACAAATTGGCAATCTACACATGTTTACAAAATAATTTGTTGGATTAATGTATTTAGCCAGAATGTTCCCTGTTATATTTTACTAACTCATTAGTCTAAAGTCAGGCAAGAGGAAACACTAGAGGATATATAGTTTAATATTAGACATATGATATAAAATAATACTCATAATTAAATTTATCCAGTTTTTATAAATAAAATTGTTACAAATCTTGAGTCGATTGAAATACCTGTAAAACATGCAATTTTAATTTTTATGATGAGTGATTAAATCCCTGAAAAAGAATAGTTAACAAGGATTCTGAAAATAAGCCATTGGCTTTGAATACATTTATCCAATAATTAATGACCAGTACTATACCACTGACAAGTAGGGCACATTGCCAGATAATGAGTTAACAAGACACATTGGCAGATAGGTTTGTTTACTTTGTTAATTCACCCATTAACACCAGTAATCTACTGGCACTGATGAGTAAAACTGTCTGGTGTTAGCCAGAGTAAATACTAAAGTAAGGCGCATTGGCTGCTAATGGGTAACAGTGCATCTAACACTAAAATTTTTTATTGGCGATACTAAATCCTGGCATGATATTCACAGTCACGGCAATAGAAGCGTTCCGAAAAATATTGAGCAATTCATTTCCCCACATTTATCTGTTGATTTATGGAGTTCATAAAACATTTTAGGAAACTTCTTGAAAAACTCCTAACTTCCTGTTCATCGACCAATCACAATTGGTAAAAAAACAGTAAAAATTTGATTGGTCAATGAAACAGATAACGTCCTGTTTCATTGACCAATCAGAACTTCTCAATAATAAAAGTAAAATTTGATTGGTCAATGAAACCATGTTACAGAAAGTTTTTCAAGGAGTTTCTTAAAATATTTGATGAACTCCGTAAATCAACCGATAAATGTGAGGAAATTAATTGCTCAATATTTTTCGGAACGCTTCTATTGCCACAACTGTAGTTAGTCTGCGAATTGTTTTAAAATTTAGGCCAATTGTTCCATTAACCCATTAAGTTCCAGCGCTCTCCCCTTGACGAGTAAAATTGTCTGGCGTTAGACAGAGTAAAATTGTCTGGCGTTAGACAGAGTAAAATACTAAAGTAGGGTGCATCACGGTGCAATGCCACTCAATGGGTTAACTAGGCACATGGGCAGATAGGCCAGTTAACCCATTAAGCGCCAGCACTCTCCCCTTGACGAGTAAAATCGTCTGGCGTTAGACAGAGTAAATACTAAAGTAGGGTGCATCAGGGTGCAATGCCACTCAATGGGTTAAAGATGGCTTTCAAAGGCATGCCACTATATTTTGTAACAAAAAAAGCCCGGGTCTGGTCTGTTTTCTGACATCATCCAATGTACTCAGCATTTTTAGCTTAAATTATCAGCTGGTATAATTTCATCATCAGTTTATTCATGCTTTGCTTCTACAGACTGTATTGTATACTGATACATTAGGTTTGAATAGTTTTCTTTGCTATGAAAAGAAGTAAATTGTATGGTAAGTACAACTATTCTGCAGAGCACAGTTTAGCCACTTGATCTTGCATCAGGGCATTTAGTGGAGATATGATTATGACGATTGAATTATTTACGCCAAGTAACATGTCGTACACGTCAGGTAGCAGCTGAAATATCAAAGATTTGCCATAACCTGTTGGCAAAACGGCCAAAACATCTTCACCATTTACAATGGCCGAGATACATTTGAATTGCTCATCTTTTAATGAAAAGTCAAGTCCTCTTTTCTCTAGAGCAGCTTTAATAGCTCTTTCGGTATTTTCCATTGAAGATGATTTAATAATGATGATTTAAAGCATCTTTAAACGGATAAAAACTACTTTATATTGAGAATCTTGCTTGCGAGGTTGTGAGAATCTTTGTTTAAAACAATATCGATTGTGAGCGTGTGCCCGCGCGAATTTAGTAAGCGGAAGAAACAGAAGCAATCAAAGCGCATGCGCCATTTATCTCATTTTGGATAAAAAAACTCGATTTCCCCAGAGTCATGCCACAACCTAACCCGCGAACAGGCATACTCTGGGAACGAGATTGTGTCCATGCAAGAAAACTCGTACGCACCGATCAAATAAGCGAGTAGGATAACCATTTCGATTAAACGCTTTTCTGAACAATTCCAGCTGAACATGGAAGTTCTGTAATTTTATATCATTCCTTACTCTGAAGATGTCTTCGGTGCAAGACGAAACGTTGGTGCTGGGCATTGATATTTATTATTAGACCACTCAGTTTTTATTTTACTATTTAAGACTAGTTCACATTGATTGTAAACATCGGCGATGCCCATTGTCGGTGGTTATTGATGCATAAAATGTTTTGTGCATTTTCTTTTTCGTTGCTCACAGACAATGGATCGTAGAACATCGCCGATCAATGTGAACCAGACTTTAATGTATTATATATACTGTAATATCCATATCGTGTTATACAGTATATAATTACCGAACTTTGGCTTTGGCGATACACTTGTATATCAATAGAATTAAACTGTTAAAGCAAATTTGCGCTGTAACAAGTAAACATCTTGTGCTATCTCACCATCTATTAAAATAAAAGCAATGTTTAATATTGCAGCATAAGCATGAAATGTGACACGTTTGTTAGCCCATCTTATCACCTGAATTTGGGCGCTTATTAAGCGCCCAAATTCAGGTGATAAGATGGGCTAACAAACGTGTCACATTTCATGCTTATGCTGCAATATTAAAAATTGCTTTTATTAATCCTATTAAAAATTTCGACAATATGTGTCAGGTTTTGTCTTCATTTAAGATAAAACTAAAGTTGATTAAATATAATTTCTGTCTTTAATGAACATTTAAACCATACAGTAAAAGTCGTTAAAATACGCGCACTGTAATATTGGTTTTAAGGGAGGGGGGAGAAGATTAGGTTTTCGAATCGTCGGATTTCACAGAAAAAAATTTTCGGATTACAGATCTGGCTAATATTTTACATGGATTTGCGGATCTTATTAGTACAGCGGATTGCGAATTTATCTAATATTTTGGCTCGGATTGTGGATTTAACTTGCAATTTAGTTCGGATCCTGGATTGTGACTTCATACTATAGAGCTTTTAGCGGATTCAAATTTAGACAAGATCATTGTCGGAATCGCGGATTTTGCTTCAAATTTGGGCGAACCGGCGGATTGTATACCCCTATTCACCCCCCCCCCCCCCCCCCCCCCCCCC